TTAGCGAGAGGCAGCTGTCATGGCAGAGCCGCGAGGGGCGGCTTCTGGCGCTGGAGCTGGTCTACGACTTTGTGCGGGGGCAGCACGAGGCCGCGGCGGAGGAAGTGCCCGTCACGACCTCGCGCGAGGCGGGAGCGACGAGCCCTCTACGTGCCCGTCGCGCCTCTTTCGACACGGCAGCGACGCCCCGGTGGTTGCTCAGTCCAGCCGGGTCGGCGGAGGCCGCGGCAGCAGAGCTGCTGTGGCGGCGGAGGAGAGAGGCGCCATACTGCGTGCGCCCACACGCGCTGACGGGCGTCCTCTCTCTGCGCCGCCTCTAGGCTCGGTCGGAGAGGCTGGCGGAGCGAGCTCGAGAGGAGGAGGCGGAGGAGGCGCGCGCTCACGCGCAGAGGCTGCGTGGCCTCGAGGCTGCGCTGCGCGAGGTCGACGCGCAGGCGGCGAGGGAGGCGGAGGCGAGGGAGGCGGAGGCGAGGGAGGCGGAGGCGAGGGAGGCGAGGGAGGCGGGAGAGGCGTGGGCGAGGGAGGCGGAGCCTCGAGCCGCGGAGCAGCACGCCCGCTTGGACGCGCCTCCTCGGCCCTTCCGCGAGCGTCTCGCGGCGGAGGAGCCTCGACTGTCGCCGAGCCATCGCGATTGGGCAGAGGCAGGCTGCGGCGGCGTGATAGCGGCAAGCCACGCCGCCGAGGCTGAGCATGAGGCTGCTGAGGAGGCGGGGCTGGAGGTGGGGGCAGAGCCGGCGGCGGGCGGGAGGCGCGCGCGGCGCGAGGCCGCGGGGGTGGGGGCGTCGGCCCGCGAGGCGGCGGGCGCTGAGCTGCGGCGGTTGCGCGAGGAGCTCGCCGCTTCGGAGGCGGTCCGTGCCGCCGAGCTGGCGCGGATCCGCCTCGCTGAGGAGGTGGAGAGCGAGCGAGCGGCCGAGCGGGCGGCCGAGGCGCAGCGGGCCCTTGCCGAGGGGTGGGGGCGCGGCGTCCGGGCTGCGGCGGGGCCGAAGCCGCCACCGCCGCCGCCAGAAGCTTGGGTTTGCGAGCCGAAGCCGCCGGCGGCGGGTTGGATTGGAGAGGAGGAGAAGAGGCGTGCCGTGGTCGATCCGGAGGCGGCCGATCCGGCGGCTGCCGAGCCGGCGGCTGCCGAGCCGGAGGAGGGCGAGCCGGAGGAGGGCGAGCCGGAGGAGGGCGAGCCGGAGGAGGGCGAGCCCGGAGAGGGCGAGCCGGAGGAGGGCGAGCCGGAGCGGCTCCAGGCGCCGCGCCGCACTCGACGCGTTTTTGCGGCGTGTCCTATGTTGCTGACGCGTCCGCCGGGTGCCCCGCAGGCGCTGCTGCGGACGCTGCAGCGACAGCGTGCCGAACACGCGTCGGTGGTGGCGCGAGGTTCCGCGGCCATTGGCCACGCGTTGGGCGAGCCCGCCCCCCTCCCGCCTCTCTCCTCCTCCCTCGAGGCGGCCCTCGCCCCCGCTATCGGCTCCGCGGTGCCACCCGCTCGTGGCACGGCCGACTCCCCGGCGCGCGAGCGCGCTGGGCGGTCTGCACCGGGCAGTCAGGGAGCCGAGAGGCGCGTCGAGACGGACGAGCTCCTGCGGCAGTACCGGCGATCGCGCGGGTCCGGCACGCCGGCGGCCTCACCCGCAGCGGGGGCGGCGGGCGACGGCGAGGTTGCCGCGGCGGCTGGCACGGCGTGCGCGACGCTGCTCGCCGACCAGTTCGACGCGCACGAGGAATGGGTCTCGTCCTTGCGCGCGAGCGCTGAGGCGGTTCACGCGACACACCAGCGGGCGCAGGCAGCCCTGGCGTCGATGATGCCGGCCGGCGCGGCAGCGACGCTGTCGCGCACGCCCAACAAGTAGACTCGGAACCTCATCGGCATGACCCTTGGCGGTTGGGACTTGGGAGGCGCATGAGTGGCCATGAACGTGGATAGATTTGTCTAGCTTTCCTCGCACCTACGGCTTTAACAGTGGTGGAGCTGAGACGGTCCCCCCAGCCTCTCCCCCCCCCCCCCGCTCGCACACGTGTCACAGACAGAGAGCGCTGATTGGTTCCCCCTTTTTCGTGTACTGTACATAGACATGCTTGTAACGAAATTCAATCGCGCGCGCGCACGCCCCGCCCGCCTTTCTAATCCCTAAAAGTCAGAGCACTCCGCAAAACCGACAAACTCGTGCGGAATCCCCTCCCCCGAATCGCCTTCCGACGCGGCTGTGCTGGGGGGAGCGAGCACGCGGCAGAGCAGCTCGTGCAGTTCGCCCGTGTCGCGCATGTCGGTGACCAAATTGTGGTCGCGGCCGGCGTGGCGAGTCATCTCGCAGCGGATATCCTCCTCGCCGCTCCCGCCCGCCCGCTCCCGCACCGCCTCGAGCAGCAGCTCCGCCTCTGCGACGTCGCCGGGCGCGTCCTCGCCCACGTGCACCTCGAGCAGCGTGCGCACGCCCGCCGGCGCCTCGCGCACCGCCTCGACGAGGGAGGCGGCGTGAAGCCCCTCGGCGTCGCAAGCGAGCTCGAGGCCTGCGCAGGGAGGAGGGGGCGAGCGGGCGGGACGCCTCTCAGCGCGGCAAAGCGAGGGAAGAGGAGGCGAGTTCAGAGGAGGCGAGCTGGAGGGGCAAACAGAGCGACGGGATCGGGGCCGGCGGAGGGGGGCGCGTCACCCTCGAGCAAGCTGTCGAACGGGGCGGCGGGCAGCGACATGTCGCGCCTCGCCGCGGGGCTCACCAGCACCTGCGGAGAGAAGGCAACCGCCGCGTCCGCGCCCAACGCGATGCCGGCGCGCGCCGCCGCGTAGCCCCCCATCGAAGAGCCCATCGTCACGAGCCTCGCCGGCCGCACCGCCGCGACCTCGGCGCGCAGCAGCTCGAGCGCGCCGTCGAAGGTGCTCCCGCCGCGGCCGCCCAGCCCGCGCACATACCACGCGCGCATCGCGTCGCGCACAAAGATGGCGTGCTGCACGCCCGCGCGCCGGCACGACGCCACAAACTCGTGCGACGGCACGCCGCCCTGGATGCCGCCGCCCAAGTTCGCGTCGGCGCCCGCAAAGGCGATCACGAGCGTGCCGCCGCACGTCGCCGGCCGCAGCAGCGGCGGCGTCCAGGAGCGCGCCAGCGCGGCGCCGGCTCGGCGCCGGTGCGCGGCCGCCGCGTCGCGCATCACCGCCCGCACGGCGGCCCACCCCTCCTCGGAGTCCAGAGGCGCCAGCCCGTCCACCTCGCGCAGCAGCGAGTGCAGCCGCCGGTCGGAAGGGGTGCTCGCGAGCGCGCGCCACAGCCGCAAGCGCGCCTTCGGCAGCCGCTGCCGCCAGCGTGCCGCCTCGGCGCCGCCCCTCCGGGCGAGCGTCAGCGTGCAGAGCGCCGCGTTGACCGACGCGTCCCACCTGCGGCGAGGGGAAGAGACGCCCTCAGCCCTCTACCAGGGAGCTCGACGACACCGCGGCGCTCACACCCGTCGTCGTCGTCTGGCTCGGCGCTCCGCTCGAGGGCGGCCTCGAAGTGCCTCAGCGCGGCGCGCGTCCGTCCCGCCTCGAGCAGCATCGAGCCTATTCCGCGCACCGCGACTCCAGTCGGGACACCCCTCTCGCCCAGAAAGGCGCCTCGACGCTGCGACGGCGTCACGCCGAGTCCGTTGCGCGGCTTGGGGCAGGCCGGGTAGAGCGACGCGGCGGTGGCGAGGCTGCGGCGCGCCTCGGCGTCCTCCCCCTGCATGAGCTGCACGATGGCCAGCCCGTGCCTCGCCTCGTGGTCCGTCGGGCAAGCGACCACCGCCGCGTCGAAGGCTGCGCGCGCCTCGGCCAGCCGGCCCGCGCGGCGCGCCTCGGCGCCTCGCTCGGCGCATCGCCGCGCGTGCTGCGGCACGCCCTCGGCGAGGGCGAAGACGACGAGCACCCACCGCTCACCCGCGGTGATGGGCGCGCCCGCGTGCCGCACGCCGCTCGCATGCACCATCGCGTGCCCGCGGCCGAGCCGGACGGGCCCTCCGCCGACCGTCTGAAAGAGAGTGCCTCCGCCCTCGTACTCGTCGGGCGAGGAGAGGGCGATGTTGACCGAGAGGAGGGCGGCGTCGCGGTGCATCGGCTGCCTCGTCCCGCCCTTCGCGGCATCGTACCGGATCACGAGCGCGTCGTACACCGCGAGCTCCTAGAGACGGCTCCGGGAGGGTTCCAGGAGAGTTCCGGGAAGCGCAAAGGAGGCGAGCCGGCCGCAAAACGCGCCTCGGCGCGGAAGCCTCCGCCGCCGGCGGCGGCATCTGCGCCGAAGCGCTCTGCGAGGAGCGGGAAGAGCGAGCGGCGGAGCTCGGCGCGGAGCCACTCCCTCGCCTGCGGCAGGTCGTTAGGATTCACCCACCAAGCTCTAACCCTAGCCCTAGCCCTAGGAGCCGCTCCGTCGCCTGCGGCAAGTCGTGCACGTGCACCTCGCCTGTGGCGGAGGCGCCTCGGCGGCTGAGACAAACGAGCGCGTGCGCGAGGGGAAGTGCTGGGCCCACTCGTGCAAGCGACGCGCTCACCGAGCCGCTCGTTGCGCGTGTACGTGAAGGACGACGACGAGCCCGCCGCCATCGCCGCCGCCGCCTCCTCCACCAGCGAGGCGCACTGCTCTGCGCTTAGCAGCGGCGCCTCTGTCGCGTGCACCAGGTGGCCGCCGCGCAGAGACGCCTCCTCGGGACCGGCGTTGCCGACGCCGGCATCGTGGGTGCGGAAGCCGCCGCTGTAGCGACCGCCGTCCTCCTCGCCGCCGTCCCCGCTGCCGCCGCCACCTCTCTCGCCGCCGAGGCCGAAGCGCGCGCGGCCCGAAGCCACCTCCCTCGCGTGCTCCTCCTCGCTCCTCGCCTCCTCGCTCCTCTCCGCGGCTTCACCCCCCTCGGCGGC